ATGCATGGCTCCACACTATCCGTGGTGCTAGATTGCACAATAGACTCCACAGAGTGGTCTGACCATAAATCGGTCACGTTAATGCTAAAAAATAACTATGAATATAGAACTAGAAACCCTTGGTGCCTGAACGAGAGTCTATTAACAGATGCAGAATTCTGCTCCCAGTTGGAACAAGACCTGAAACAGTATTTTGACACAAATTATATCTCGGTTCCATACCCCAATATGATTTGGTTAGCACACAAGCATTGATCAGAGGGTCACTGATACATACGGCCTTCTACCTTAAAAAACGGGCAACGCATAACCTAAACCAATGGAATTTACATTTGGCAAAATTACATAAAGATATCTGTTACGGTTGCTCCAGGCTAGCTTAGGGTTGGACTGTAGATGGATGCTCCTAGCGCTCACCAAGAACTATCAGCACCGTACCAGTCACCATAAGCACTGCAGACTCCACGAACCGCCGCAGCTTGGTTGGAGTCTCGCCGTCTCCTACACACTCTGGACCTATGACAAGGCAGCAGTTTCCAGTGGGTGAACCTCTCTTTCCCCAGAGAGTGAAGCAGGAAAAGGAACAAGCTCTTACAAGAGCTCAGTGAAGCTAAGGGAGTATGAAGAGCATAGCAAGCCCTGTAGTGATTATAGCTGTCCCCTCCAAACACGAGTTGAGGAAGCGAGTTAAGGGTCAAGTAGAACTAGTTTAATGGGCACAAAGGCATTTCTTATATACAGTTTTCCCCACAAGGTTACCACCCACATGGACCTTGTGGAACACAGGACACCAAGTCACAACAGCCAATCAACACAGTAATGTACAGTTAGACACTCCCAGCTAATTTACACAAACCCTCCCCTCTGCCTGTGATACAATTACCAAACACAATGGACTAAGTCAATTACCACAGGCAGAAAATATTCAGTTTTAACAAAGTCTGAAACACCCCAAAACAACAACATATCCCTGGATAGCCCTGATCTGGGTAAACAACATATTCAAAAATCACCCTAATCAGAGCAGAGATTCAAAAGTTTTATGGAAGTCTCTTTTTAAGTTTATAAGCAAGTTTAAGTTTGTGTTTAAGTACCTGTTATATAACCCTGATACACTGGCAAAACCCATACCAGTGCAGTTGGTAAGCAGGGCAGAGAGTGGGCAGAAAATGCAAAGAGGCATTCCCCTAAAAGGAAAATAGAGGGTATAACGAGTAGACCTATTGTCTAATACCACACATACTACCAAAATAATTAACAAGATGGTATTAATATACTGTATTACCTGCACTGCATATCTGGTTGTACTAAACATGTGTATCCAATGTCTGACCCCACACACCTTTTTTCTTTTCTGTACCCTAATGTCTTTTCTCCATGAAAAACAAAAACCAATACAAATTGTCAATTAAAATAAAAAGAACAAAAAACTCTTCCAAAACACTGACAAAACTGTCACAATGCTCTTTGGAACAGTACCTAAATTACACAAATTACAACATTTCTATCTATGCATCAAAACAAATTCAAATAGCACACTGACCGCAGTCCATTATTTCAAAAACTTGGGTATGTTGTTAGACCACAATCTATCTTTTGGCCTCCACATAGAAAAACTTGCATCAAAACTTTATCCAAAATTAGATGCCCTGTACAGAAACAAATCCTTCCTAAGCCCTACAGTAAAGGAAAATATTGTACTGAAAATGCTGATGCAAATCATTGATTATGGGGATTTAGTATATGCACCTGCAATGCAAAATCACCTACATGAGCTTAATACATTATATAATTGTGCTATAATGTAATTAAATGACCCACCATTGTGACATGCTAAAAGAACTAAACTGGCTGTCGCTGGAATCCAGATGCACCCTTCATCTTTCCAGCCTTGTGCTTAAGAGCTTTTCTGGGAAACTCCCACCCTACCTGAGCAGAATGCTCTCCCCGGCTGTTTCCACCTCCTATAAGCACCGATCCAGTACAAGCACTTTTTTTGTCTAGCAATTATGGAACGACCTCCTGCACATTTTCAAATCTTCCCCAAGCTTAAAATCCTTTAAGAGATCCCTTTCTACATACCTCAAAACAGAATGCACCTGTCATGGTTGATTATATATTTCTTACCTGTTCTATGTTAAATTTTGTATATATTGTGTATTAATATTGTGTTTGTATTTTATTGTACCATAATGTAACAATGCAATGATTTGTGGACCCAGGACATACTTGAAAACAAGAGAAATCTTAATGTCCATCCTGGTAAAATATTTTATAAATAAATAAATAATATTACCATATACATTGAGTACACTCTAATGAAATAAAATAAAGAAAAAAGAACAAAATAAAATGTGAAAATAGACATTTCCGTTTTGCTTTATCTCTTTATAAATATTCACTTCAATTTAGATGTTCTTCTATTAGTCGGTTGTCTATTATGCATGAAAATTAAATAGCCTTTTTATTTTATTTTATTTGAGGAATATATAATACAAAGTTTGACTTTTCACTTTTGACTTAAATGTCCTTTCCTAAAATGGCTCTGTATTATGTGTGAAATTGATTTTCTTTCCGAGGTTCCAACTCTTTGCCAAAAAAAAACTTCAAAGACTTTATAACGTTTAGCACTGTTGCATTAAATATATCACATACAGACATGTACAAAAGCCATGGGAAGCAACATTTAAATAAAATAACAGAGTGAAGGGACAAGTACATTTCCAAATCTACATGTGACCACTTGCCAAGATGATTGGAATACGAATAGAAGCATCTTTGGAATCCTGGGCACAAATCAGTAGAAAACATTATTGAGGACATTTGAAGTGGTAACAATAGAAATCTATCACTTCCTGTATGTTTCAAGAGCTTATCTTTTCATTAAGATTGTCCTGCTCAGCAGAAAATTAGTCTATTTACTGAAATTATGGTTTATTTTATGTCCATTAAACAAAATTATCCTCCATTCCATAACCTTAATACCTATGGAAATAGCTCATTTTGCATTTTTTATATTTTATTTTTTTTACTTGAAGTAGGTTTGTGAACTTGTTGCTCGTTGTTCCTTACATTTTAATAAAGCAACCGTTTCGTCTAGTTATTATTATGCAACCATGACAACTGTTTACTTCTTAATGCATGTGAAAAGCATTTTTGGCCGCCTCCAAATGATAGATTTACTATATTTAACTACAATTTATCCTACCACAAATACATGAGATATACAATCATCACAAAATACAGCAGCAAAAAAGTATTTGGTTATTGTTAAAATGGAAAAATGTAATAATAATTGCTAGCTTTACCCACAGAGAGTGTTTGATTACTAGAACTGTATTAATCTGAATAGATTACTACAATCGCTATCATGTGTATCCCACCATAGATAAAATGGGAGGATTTAATGGAAGCATTAAAGAGTATAAATATATTTGCAGCCTTCCTCCCAATAGTTTCTACCTCCATAATAAAAGCTTTACCTTGTCTTTTACCCACCATCCTCTTTCTCCAGCCCTTGCTTCCTTCCATACTCCTAGCGTCTTTACTATATTTCCCTGTTTGTCCTGTTTTTTTCTTTTATTTAGTCAGCTTTCCCAGTTTCTAGGCTTCCAGTAGCACCCGTTTATACATGTTCAGGTGAGTGCAGCCCCCTGGTTTTTATATATAAATATATTTGGGACAGAGACGTAACTAGAAACCAAGGGGCCCCATTGTGAAAATTACCCTGGGCCACCCCCCCTGTACATCTATCCCCCTGCCACCCATCCTCCCTCTCCTTCCACACATGCAAACAGATACACATGCAGGCTCACCTAGACACACACACACAGACACACACATACAGATACACACACACACACACACACAGATACAGACACATACATACAAACAAACACATACATACACACAGACAGACAGATACACACAGACAGATACACAGGTAGACAGATACACACACACACAGACATATAAACACACACACACACACATACCTTTCCCAGTGGTGACTCAGACTGATGGGAGTCAGAGTTCCCATTCTGACTCCCTCCTCTCCTTCCTCCCACACTGCTCCCGGTATAAGCTTGGAGGAGTGACTGGGGCAGTCACTTCCTCCCAGCCTCTGACCTTATCAGAGGGGGCCCGGTCGCGCTGTTAAAGTGCTGACTGGGCCCCCTGAAAACACATAGCATTGTGTGGCTTTAACAGCATGGGCCACCCGATAGGCCCCTTCAATGCGGCCCTGGCAGTTACACCGCGCATGCCGGGGCATTACTTAGCCGGTGGGTCGCGCGGTTACAGGGGTCCGCAGGGCAGTCGGGCCCCCTGGAGTGAAGGGCACTGTCACAGCTGAAACCCCTACGACCGTGATAATTCCGCCACTGATTTGTGAGTCTAGGCCAACTCCCTGGTTTTGCACCTCCCTGTCACAAGTGCTTTGTTCCAGGGCCCTATTTAACTTTGTACAGCAGAGAGATCCCAGATGAAATTGTTTCCCCAAGTAAGTGGGTTAATCTAATAAGAGCAGACATTAGGCTGTTAGAGAGGACCTGCCAAAGATGGGGAACATTGATGTTGTGGCAGGCTTATGCAATATATGATTATATACTGTAACTAAACCCCAATTATGTTTGCCTAGATCAGGTGTTAAAAAAATACATAAATAAAATAATATCTGCACGTTTTGAAGTGGATGAGTGAGTGTGCTGGATCTTATACAAATACAAATAAATATATATATATATATATATATATATCAATGACCTTTATATTTTACCTCACCTTTATGAAGGCACAGCCCACAGTATTTTCTGTTCCCTTACTTTATACTTTTGGAATGTTACATCATCATTAATCCTTGTGCTTAAACTCTTAATGGAACATTTGTTGCAACCTACATTTACAGAGGAGGCACAGATCTGGTGCACAATGTTGTTCAAATGCTGGTAAGAAACATAGAAACATAGAATGTGACGGCAGATAAGAACCATTCGGCCCATCTAGTCTGCCCAATTTTCTAAATACTTTCATTAGTCCCTAGCCTTATCTTATAGTTAGGATAGCCTTATGCCTATCCCACGCATGCTTAGACTCCTTTACTGTGTTAACATCTACCACTTCAGCTGGAAGGCTATTCCATGCATCCACTACCCTCTCAGTAAAGTAATACTTCCTGATATTATTTTTAAACCTTTGTCCCTCTAATTTAAGACTATGTCCTCTTGTTGTGGTAGTTTTTCTTCTTTTAAATATAGTCTCATCCTTTACTGTGTTGATTCCCTTTATATATTTAAATGTTTCTATCATATCCCCCCTGTCTCGTCTTTCCTCCAAGCTATACATGTTAAGATCCTTTAACCTTTCCTGGTAAGTTTTATCTCGCAATCCATGAACCAGTTTAGTAGCCCTTCTCTGAACCCTCTCTAAGGTATCAATATCCTTCTGAAGATACGGTCTCCAGTACTGTGTACAATACTCCAAGTGAGGTCTCACCAGTGTTCTGTACAATGGCAGGAGCACTTCCCTCTTTCTACTGCTAATACCTCTCCCTATACAACCAAGCATTCTGCTATCATTTCCTGCTGCACTATTACATTGTCTGCCTACCTTTAAGTCATCAGAAATAATCACCCCTAAATCCCTTTCCTCAGATGTTGAGGTTAGGACTCTATCAAATATTTTGTACTCTGTCCTTGGGTTTTTACGTCCAAGATGCATTATCTTGCACTTATCCACATTAAATGTCAGTTACCACAATTCTGACCATTTTTCTAGTTTACCGAAATCATTTGCCATTTGGCTTATCCCTCCTGGAACATCAACTTCCAATCTTCACAACAAGAACCTTTCCCAGCAGTGTCAAAGCTAGCTGATCCCCGTGGTACAATGCAGTGATTAGTCAATCAACAGTCAGGTGGAAAACACATTTACATGCAAACTAAAGAGTTTATAAGAATATAGATTATTAATATATATATATATATATATAAAAGAGAAGATAGCTTGGCACTCGCCTTACCAGAGTTTCAGGTACGATAGCCTGGGTGCAATCCAAATGCTTCCAATATGTAAACAGGAGAAAATCAGGATGCACACACAGGTCTTTGAATAAGTGCAATGTGATTTAATCAATCATCAAACATGCAGTAAATAGAATCAACGTTTCGACACCAGCGGGTCTTTTTCAAGATTACTGCCTATGCATAAATAATGTGTATTTCCTGGCCATATCCATGGCAGCACAACAATGGGGTAGCTCCTTCCTTATCCTTAATTAGACAGGAACTAATTAAAATAAAGGTACAAATACCCCCGTCTACCTCCTACTCCCTCAGTCTTTTTGTTCCTGTCCTATTCCTATAGGACCAATAAGTCTATTACAGGACTATAATCAATTTTATTTTTTGGCTTACCTGAGGGTCTTTACCTTCTGCCCCCAAGGGAGTTCAGCCTCTCTTACTTGGGAAGCTTCAGTACCCGGCCCTGTGCAAAGGTGTCCCCCTGAAGATACCCCCTTAGTGACCGGGGATTTGCTTGCTGTGACCCTAGGGGTAGCAAAAGAAAAATGCCAATAAACTCTTATTCCCTGCAGTGACCAAGAGGTAGCAGGAAGTGGCGAGAAGAATATATATCCTGGAAACATCCTTACATTTCTCCATATTGACAGCCCACATGTATGTATACATATAAATACTTTTCATATATATTGTATTTGGTATACTTATATTTGTGGGTTCCCCCTCCTGCCTAAATAATTTTCTTCCCTTAATGTGCTGGACAACACACACCTTCATTTTGTTTTTAGCATTCTGTCTGTCTTTTAGGTGTTAAAATGTTATATTACTAGAGGTAACAGGAAGAAAAATCTTGTTTTTTGCTTCCTTAAAGGTATATGCATAATTTATATTTTTTCTGTTCTTCTCTCTTTTACATTTAATAATGTAAATTCCCTTTTATTAGACTGTTCTTAAATATCAATATTGAGAAAGAAAAAAGGAGATCAATTTCATCTGATTCAGACTCTTCTGGATATAAAAATAGGTCACACTCTAAGAGTTATAGTTAAGCCATGAATTTTTATTTTCTCAATCTATATTACAGTTGTAATAAATAAAAACAAAAGAGAGCTAATACGAGTTATTTCCCTATCATGATAGTTCTACGGGAAAGAAAATGGTGAGATGAGCTAAAGGAAAATCACCAAAAAAGAGTAATTGTGAAGCCTGTGATAAAAAATTGCTAGAAGGCAAACGATTATGTGAAGAATGTTTATCGGAAACAGCCGGAACATCTAATCCTTCCTCCGATATTATACAGTTTATAAAACATGCGGTGACTCAAGACATTAAAGAAGCAGGTACAAGAACCAAAAGACCCCAGTTATATGACCCTGCAGATTACCAACGAGATGATTCATCAGACGAATATATGGATATGGAGTCATACCAAGGAAATTTCTTATCTTCAGAGGAAGAAGAAACTCAGGTTCCCCCATATTTTCTAGAGCCACCCCATATTATCTACAAAGTACGTAAATCTTTGAGTCTTAAAGAAGCAGTTACAGAACCATCAACTTGTAATCGCTATTTCTCAGACATGAGAAGGAAAAGAGCAACCTTCCCGGTACATGATACCATCAAGGAATTAATTAAGGACGAATGGTCCAATACTGATAAAAATTTGAAAAAAATATTTTCTTGCCTCTATCCTTTTGAAAAATCTGATTCATGCCATTGGGATAATGCCCCTAAAATGGATGCTGCAGTGGTTAGACTGGCAAAGCATAACACATTACCAGTTGACGATGCAGGCTCATTTAGACACCCAATGGACAAAAACATGGATTTACATCTTTCTAAAGATTATGTAGCAGCTGGTACAGGTTTTCACCCTGCAATAGCCCTCACATCAGTATCCAGGGCTTTGAAAATATGGATTGAGAAATTGGAAGAAGATATCAGAGCTGGGAGAAGCAGATCTTCTCTTCTGGAAAGGTTAAGCGATATTAAACTGGCCTTTGACTTTTCCTCTGAATCCTTGGTGGATATGGTAAAAGCTCTGGCAAGGAACATGGCTCTCTCAGTATCAGCTAGAAGAGCATTGTGGCTGAGATCTTGGTCCACAGACTCATCATCTAAATCTAGTCTGTGTGCTCTTCCTTTTCATGGAGAAATGTTGTTTGGGAAAAATCTTGACGAGTGTATCAAAAGAGCTGCAGAAGGAAAAAGAGCTTTTCTTCCACAAGACCGGAAAACCCGGGGATCCTTTTGAGCAAGGAGATACTCTGAATACCCTTCCTTTCAAGATACCAGATCATATAAACCCGGAAGAGAAAATGGAAGATCCCTTCCATGGAGAGGAGGACATTCTTCCAGCAGAGGAGGTAAATCCAGGGGTTCTTCATTCCACAAGAAACCTTTATGACTGGGTCACTTCCCAATCTGGAGGAGTAGGTGCCGTATACTACTATTCCAAGAAATTTGGGAACATTCAACTCAAGACAGATGGGTGCTGGATATAATACAAAGAGGTTATTTCATAGAGTTCTCCAGTACTCCTCCACCTCGCTCCTTTCAAAAGACAAACTGGCCAAGAGATATAGAGAAAAGAAACGCCCTAAAAGACTTTGTCTCATCCCTTCAAAAAGATGGAGTTATTGTTCAAGTTCCACGGGCTCAACAGACACATGGGTTTTGCTCCCATCTCTTTCTCACCAGAAAATCCACAGTGGGACGGAGGCCTATACTAGACCTAAGCAGCCTAAACAAGTTTTTAAACATAAGAAAATTCAAAATGGAATCTCTTCAATCCATTGTAAAAGCAGTATTCCCAGGACAGTGGCTTATGTCAATAGACTTGGCAGACGCATACTTCCATATTCCCATCGCACACCAGCATCAAAAATTTCTAAGATTCGCAGTGGAAGAAGGTCACTTTTAGTTCCGTGCTCTCCCATTTGGACTAAGCACAGCCCTGCGTACTTTCTCAAAGGTTCTGGTGGTTCTAATTTGCGAAACTCAGGAAGAAAGGCATCGCAATATATCATTATCTAGACGATATCTTGATTTTGGCAGGAAGCAGAAATATACTAGAAAATCACGGTCTCATATGTATGCAATTTCTTCAACAGCACAGTTGGAAAAATAGATCTGATGGCGACAAGCAACAACAGGAAGGTAAAGAATTTCTTCTTAAAATTTCCAGATCCACAAGCCATGGATGCAATTGGGAATTCAACCTGGCCTATGCATTCCCTCCGAATCCTCTCATCTTTCCCCTACTGAGGAGACTGAGACAAGAGAAGGTATCATTGATCCTGATAGCCCCTTTTTGGCCATGCAGGCCTTGGTTTCCTCTCCTACTAAGTCTCTGCAAGAAAGACCCATGGCTTCTTCCAGTTGTCCCATTCCTGCTACAACAGGGTCCAATCCCTCATCCAAACCCAGCATCCCTTCATCTGATGGCATGGTACTTGAAAGGGAAGGGTTGAAAAATAAAGGATTTTCTCAAGCAGTAATTAAGACACTCCTACAAGCAAGGAAGAAGTCCACTTCATCTACTTATTACAGAATCTGGGATGTATTTTTTTTCATGGGCCAGTTCAAGACCTTTGGATATTCTGAATCCATCAACCAAAGATATTTTAGAATTTCTACAATCTGGCCTGGAAAAAAGGATTGAGTTACAATACCTTGAAGGTTCATATTTCAGCCCTCTCTGCTTTAACTGATCATAAATGGGCATTGGACTGAGACATAGCAAGATTTATGACGGCGGTCTTGAAAATGAAGCCTCCCATTAAATCTATTACTCCACCTTGGGATCTTCCTCTGGTCCTTAAAGCTCTTAAAATAGATCCCTTTGAACCATTAGAATCAATTTCTTGTCATCTCCTCACTATCAAGACGGTGATATTGGTGGCCTCAGCCTCTGGTAGAAGGGTGTCAGATCTTCAGGCTCTTTCTGCTGAAGAACCTTTTACTATATTTCATAAGGACAGAGTCATTCTAAGGACAGTTCCAGAATTCCATCCCAAGGTAACTTTGGGGTTCCATGTAAATGAAGAAATAATACTCCCTGCACTGATTTCAGAAGAATCTAACGACGGAGAAGACACTGACTTGAAGGCTATTGACTTAGTGAGGTGCCTCAGGATATATGTACAGAGATCGTCAGAATGGCGAAGTTCTAAAATACTTTTTGTTATTCCCAGTGGCTCTAGGAAGGGTCTCCATGCCTCTAAAGCCACTATCAGTAGATGGATAGTTGCAGCTATTATCCAATCATATAAAGCATCTAAAGCACGAATCCCTGAAGGTCTAAAAGCACACTCTACACGTTCTCTCTCATCATCCTGGGCAGCTGCTGCAATAGTGTCGGCAGAACTGATCTGCAAAGCAGCCACTTGGTCTTCCTCAAATACATTTATCAGACATTATCGTTTAGACGTAAAGACTGGTCAATACGATTCATTTGACAGATCTAT